GAAGTACAGACGGACGGACATAGCTAGATCGTCCTAGAATTTTACCCTGATCAAGAATATATATACTTTATAGGGTCGGAAATGAATATTTCGATGAGTTACAAACGGAATGATAAAATTAATATACCCTCCATACTATGGTGGAGGGTATAAAAATGGGGTTATATGGGGACTACCCCAAAAAGGGGGCGAATATTAATAATTTTTGGTGGAGAGATTTGTTACCATATACGACTACAAAATACCAAATTGCAGCGAATTCGGCTGAAAAACGTGCTCAAGAACCCCAAAATAACGAAAATTGGGGGTACCCTTATATTATTTCTTGTGGAGAGATTTGGAACTTAATAAGAACTAAAAATACTAAATTACAGCCAATTCGGTGGAAAAAAAAAACGATTAAAACACCCAAAATACTAAAAATTAGGAGTTACCGTTATATGGGGACTACCAGAAAAAGTGGACCTATAATAATAATTTTTTGTGAAGACATTTAGTACCCAATAAGAACTCAATGTACCAAATTTCAGCGTATTCGGTTGAAAAACGAGCTCAAGAACCGCAAAATACCGATAATTGGGGGGTACCGTTATATGGGAGATATGCCTAAACGTGGACCGATATATCCCATCTTCAAACTTGACCTGCCTGCAGACAAAAGACAAACCTGTGCCAAATTTCAGCACCCTATATCAATTCCTTCAGAAGATAGGGTAATTACAACAGACCGACGGACGGACAGACGAACGCGGCTAGATCGAATTTACCCGGATCAAGAATATATATACTTTATAGGGACGGAAATGAATATTTCAATGAGTTACAAACGGAATGACAAATGTATAAGGTTTGAAAGCAAGAAATGTTCAAAGGTGCCTCTCCCCTACACATTAGTACGAATTTCCAAAACGTTCTACAACATATCCCAATCCATGCAGCTCCATCTGTTCCTTTAAACTCAAATTATACCAAATTTAGTACCTTTTCGTTTACATCGACCCTACTTCTCAACCTTGATTCATTCCGTTCACATGCTACGAAATTGTAATGAATTTAGTACCTTTTTAGTTCTTTTCGGATACTTATAGTTCGAATTTCCAAAACACTCTTTGTTTCTTCCGCCCTGTACTTCATAAATGACCCAATTCCAAATTTAAAAGCTCCACTTTTACCGATTCGCCAAATATTAGGTTTCTCCAACCTAAGAGATGCATTATTTTTTCGTAAAGTATCGATTAAACAATTTCAGATTTATGCTCGTTGGAAGGGTGACATATCGCAGTAAAAAACAGTATTTTGCTGTTTTTGTTGGAGCATTTAGTTGTGAATTGCAGTGTGTTAAAAATGGAAGTGAACAAAGAGAAAATTCGATACATTTTACAGTTTTTCTTTGACAACAGCAGCTAAAGTGAATGGTGTTTATGGTCCCGATACTGTAACAGGAAATTATGTGTAATTTTGATTTCGTAGATTCCGCTCAGGACTTTTTAATGTTAAATATGCACCTCGCACCGGTAGGCCGGTCGTAGAAAATGTCGATAAAATCGGAGAAATAATCGAAGTTGACCTTTAAAATGGCAACAAACAAAACGGTGCATATTTGGTCCATATCGGACATTCGGAAGCATGTTAAATAAATTCCTATAGTTCATATAAAAATAATGGATTTTTTCCAACCTAATACAAATGGTATTATAATCAATACTTTTCGTGCCGTTCTAGCACGAATTTCCAAAAATCCTACTGACACTTTCGGACTAAGAGTGACTCTTACCTCAAATTTAATAATTCTAGCTTCAGCCGTTTCGTGCGTTGATGGATTGTTAAATCAGTCAGCAATCACTTTACTCTTTTTATTTTAATATATATTATCACGAAAGATGTCTCTAGTAATCGAAGCTAGAATATCAGTCAGCCTGGTTGACTAATTTTACAATCATAATAAGCGTTTATTATCCTATTTATATAAATGGATGCAAATACCCGCAGAAGTGTACTACTCTGTTCTTGACTGGAATTCGAAAAAATCCATTGAAAGGTTTTTTTTTCCAAAATTTCAAGAACAAAAATTACGTTAAATTAATTATGTGATTAATACTTACACAGTAGTACGTAGGATACACATACATATACATACCAACTGAACACAATATGCTAATGTTATAAGTTGAAAGAAACAATAGCCAGCCAAATAAATTTTAAAAAATAATAAATGCTGTACTTTATTTTAGGCCGTTGTCATCTTCGCCATCATTGCCTGTGCTGCTGCCAAGCCTGGTTTGGTTACACCCTTGGCTTACACCGCTCCCGCTGCTGTTGTTGCTGCCGCCCCTGCACCTTTCGTTACTGCCACCAGTAGCCAATATGTTGCCCGTAACTACAATGGTATTGCCACCGCCCCAGTTGTAGCTCCCGTAGCCACCCCTGTTGTAGCCAAAACTGTTGCTGCTCCCATTGTTGCTAAGACTTTCGCCGCCCCAGTTGCTGCCGCTTACTCTGCTCCAGTTGTTGCCAAATACGCTGCCACTTATGCTGCTCCTTTCGCTTACTCTGCACCTTTGACTTATGCCGCTGCTCCAGCTTTCTTTTAAATTGAACTTCTGATGACAAATAAACGAAAAATTTGACGAACCACCAACGTATAAATATTGTCTTTTTAATGTGTATCTATATATGGGCAATATTGCAAATTTTTTAATATTCCATTTTCAAAAAATCAGCCTTTTTGTTTTTGTGGCACATCAATGATTTTTGGTACACATATAGAGAAAAATGTTCTGACTCCGAAACCGTTCGGGATCAAATTTTTGGTTGATGCGCGCAAAAGTTATCGAGGTTTTAATTTTGGACATAAGAAAAAAAATCTTAAAATTACGCCGTTTATTATATTGACCAAAAACGTTGATATATATCTTCCTCCGTAAAATAAGAATATTAATATATTATAATAATCACGATAAAGTTGCACATATTCGCGAAATATGAGAAAAATAAAAAAAAATACCAGATTACATCAATATTTTCATTATATTAATAACATACACACACCTGAAAATTAATTTAAAAATATCTACATAATCTAAACACCATGGTGAATCAAATGATATCAAAATCACACAAGTCCGTGTAGCTGTTTCTAAATCATAGCGACAACAAAACAAGATATTGAGGAAAAATATTTGTTTTTGGTTCGAAAAAATAATGTCATCATACATATTTATTTTTTTTAATTGTATACAAGAAATTTCAGAAAAAAATGTTGGGGTTATTCTGCTATTTTACCCGAATTTCGCCGAAAATTATACATATATAATAATAATCACTTTTTGTGTATAAGTATACGCCTTGCGGATTATATCAAGACCCTTCCGATAAATCTTAGAATTCTATAAATAGGAATAAATCTTAAAATAAAATAATATTATGAAATATACATTTTAAATTGCGTGTAAATCGCGTAATTCTCAAAATCATTTGATGCGCATGCGGTTTCCAGGAAGTACTGAAGTTTATCTTCCAATCCATATATATTTTGCGAAATTTCATTTGACGGCTAAGATGTGCCACGCGTTACATTGAAGTCCCCAAAAAATCGTAAAACGCGAATAATTTCCCAAAACTCCATATGCCATTAACGCGCATCCGATTTCCGTGTGCACCCTAAAAAAATAACTCGAAATAAGAACCATGGATGTGCCAGCACAATCTATTTTTGAGATAAATTGCGTACATCTCTCTTTCGGCTGAAGTTTTTAAAGTTCTCTTTTCGAAAAAGATCAAAATCCGTATGAGGTCTTTTATTGAAGCGGAATTTTTTGCCAAATTTCGTGTTTTTGGAAGGCTAGTTCCCGCCGTTCTAGTAGATGGATTTTCACGAAGAAGATTTTATATCATCCGAAACGTAAAAAACCTTATTGATCGCGGGTACCCATATCATTCAGTTGACAGATCTAAAAATTTGGCCCGAAAAATAGGTTTTTTAGAAATGTCTCCTTACAGGCAACGCCTTTTCGAAAGAACATTGACATGTCATTGAACAAGCATGAATATTTGATCTGGAACCTGCTAAATTTAATAATTCTGGCAAGTTTAGAGTCGTTTGCGTATAATGGAACAAATTAATGTAAATCTGCACCAATTTAAAAAACAGATAACGTCATTCTAGTCTCAATTTGATACGTTTCGTGTCAACCGGTACAACATTTACCTATAATCCATCGAAAATACAAATGGGAGCTATAACTAAATCTTAGCACACATCATTCTATACTCAATTCAGTTCGCTGTGCCAAATTTCGTGCAAATCGAAAGATATCTAGGGACTCTGGTGCATCATTTCTATTAAATCGGACGGAAATATATATAATTGAGTTGTATCTGAATCTGAACCGATTTTAACGAAACTTAGCACACATCGTTGTAGACTTTTTTCAAAATGATATGCCAAATTTCGTGCAAATCGAAAGATATATAGGGGCTTTGGCCCGCCATTTACATAAAATCGGACGAAAATATATATGGGAGCTATATCTAAATATAAACCGGCATTCCCCAATTTCCATAGGGTTCGTCTTTGGCCAAACAAATAAGCTGTACAAAATTTCATCCAAATCGGATTATAAATGCGACCTGTACTTTGTTTACAATTTAACACCAACAGACGGACATACATAAATCGACTCAGAAAGTGATTCTATGCATATTCTCAAAAGAACCATGTGTCTATCTCCTTTCCTTTAATTTTCTAGCCAATTCCAGAAGACATAAGTCCATGTAAAGATCTCGAACGATCGATAACGACGTTTTTACCTGCTACTGTTAGCTATTGATATTGGAATAAACGGGGTCACCATTTGGTATATCGACAAATAGAAATATATGACTTAGAAGATCCGAGTTGTTCATTATGAAAAGACAATTAAGTTCTTCAATTGAGTTTTCACTTAAACATATGATTTATTTATTTTTTAATTTCGAGATCATTTCCAATGGTTTTGGTTTTACAAGAAAACAGGGGCTGGGGCAGCAGCATAAGTCAAAGGAGCGGAGTAGCCGAAAGGAGCAGCATATGTGGCGGCGTATTTGGCTACCACAGGGGCAGAGTAAGCAGCAGCAACAGGGGTGGTGTAGGCAGCAGCGACTGGGGCAGCGAAAGTCTTGGCAACAACAGGGGCGGTGGCAATACCATTGTAGTTACGGGCAACATATTGGCTACTGGTAGCAGTAACGAAAGGTGCAGGAGCGGCAGCAACAACAGCAGCTGGAGCGGTATAAGCCAAGGGTGTAACCAAACCTGGCTTGGCAGCAGCACAGGCAATGATGGCGAAAAGGACAACGGCCTACAAAAAGGATTAAAATTTTGTGATTTATTTTCAATCCTCAATTTTATTCCTGCGTTCTAATACTTACTAATTTGAACATATTGATTTAGTTGTAGTATGTGATTGTTCCGATATGTAATCAAATTATTTATAGGTAAAAATAACCTCTTCAGATGTGCCGTTATTTTATTCAAATATTTTAGTCCATTTCCATGAAAAAAGAATAAACATTAAATAAATACATAAACTACATTCTAGCAAGAATCACCCTTAAGGCTACCGTTTATTTTTAGGGGAAGTCTCAATGTCTCAATTAAGTGAATCACGACGCACACAACAAAATTTCAATTGGTGTAGCTCTTTAACCAACAGAATATTAAATTAACCAGCTCGTATTAATATTACGAATGCCGTACATAACAGCTTTGTTTACGTTAAATGGCTACTTGTATTTACCACCATCAACATACTAACAAACAATTTTAAAATAATAATAAAGTACTCAGTTTATTGATCATTAAAAAAAAGAAAAATTCAAGAACATTTTTGAAGGGCAGACCAAAAATACGGGGCCATTTTTATTAGTTGACTGTCCATACTATAAATATGAACAAAGTAATTGTAATGCCATCAGTTATCACTCACTTGAAGTCCAAAACACACACAAACCTAAAAACCAAAATGTTCAAATTCGTAAGTAGTTTTAATTTTTAAAAAAGGAACATAATTTATGCTTAACCAATATTTTTGTTACAGGCTGTTGTCCTTTTCGCCATGATTGCTTGCGCTGCTTCCAAGCCTGGTTTGGTTACTCCTTTGGCTTACACCGCCCCCGCAGCTGTTGTTGCTGCTGCCCCAGCTCCATTTGTGACTGCCACCAGCAGTCAGTATGTTGCCCGTAACTACAATGGAATTGCCACTGCTCCAATTGTTGCTCCCGTCGCTGCCCCTGTTGTAGCCAAGACTGTTGCCGCTCCCATTGTTGCCAAGACTTTTGCTGCCCCAGTCGCTGCTGCTTACACCACCCCTGTTGCCGCTGCCTACTCAGCTCCAGTTGTTGCCAAATACGCTGCCACTTATGCTGCTCCCTTTGCTTACTCTGCACCTTTGACTTATGCCGCTGCTGCTCCAGCTCCTGTCTTCTTGTAAATTCTTTCGACTTCAATGTGTTCGATCTGTTCCGAAATAAACTATTAATTTATTAAAGATGTCAAATTTGTTTCAATATTTTTCAGGGGCATGGGTTATAAATAATTATTTATAACCCCTGGGTTATAGGAGTAGTTTTATTTTTAATAATTGGGGATTATATGCGAGTTTTTTTCTTTTTTTTTTTTTGAATAATTAAGCAAAATGGCGTGTTCTTTTCGAATAATTAGGTACTAAAGAGTTTAGTTTTTAAATACTTTTCCAAGGACTGTAGATTTGTATTCCCTTGGGAGGATGTTACAAGTCTGTGTAACCCCAGAGATTTTGTAACACGGCCAATTGTTATATTATATTTCACCTAGACCAATATTTTAGTATACCGATAATACCACTGTCTGAATCGATATAGACATGTAGGTCTATATATAATTCTTCGTAAAGAGCAACCCAATTGCCGTGAAATTTTGAAGCCCGGTTCTGGCAAAAATTTGATAATGATAGGTTAATATTTAGCAAATGAATTGGATTTCTGGTCGTACTAGAGGCCACAATTATGACCCCAACATCACAACCTTTTACATAGGTCCACCTTTTGGTGTGGATCCCCCCCCCCCAACTTTGGCCGATTTGGACGCGTTTTTCATCTGGATTGGTTGTAATTTAGCACTTGGGTTCTATTTGAATCGTACATCTCCGTACTGAAATTATTAATATTGGCCTATGTTTTAGGGTAGCCCCCATATAACACAATATTCGGTATTTTGGACACACTTTTCACCCGAATTGGGTGCAATTTTTTATTTAAAGTTTTCATTGGGTGTCAAATTTCACTACAAAAAATTACAATTATTGACTTAAGTTTCAGGGTAGCCCCCATATAACGGTAACCCCAATAAGCGGGATTTTTGGAGTTTTGGACATGTTTTTCAAATGCTGTAATTTGGTATTTTGGGGTCTAATTGTACCGCACATCCTTGTATAACAATTATTAATATTGAACTAGGTTGGTATTTTGGAAATTTTTGGACACGTTTTTTTTTTAACAGAATTAACTGTAATCTACCAAAGTATAAATATCGGTCTAAGTTTTGGTATATAATGGTGGTGCTACTATTAGTTACTTTGAGCATTAAAATCATATTTTTCTCAGGTATTTTTCAGTATTTAAAAGGTACTATCATAACATGATTTTTCTCCTAGGAACCCTATTTTAATTTTAAATATTTTGAATGTCATCCTCAACGGAATACCATATTGCGGGGCAAATAGACCAAAAATATTGAGTGTAAAATTACAAACTTTACATCTTATGGCCTAAATTTGTAAGATGAGCTTTGGACTTTTAATCCAATAACAAATCGGTTGAAAAGTTCATATCCGAACTGGATGGACATGTCAAAAGATGTTTAATTGGCCCTCATATTAAAGTATTGTCTAGTATTACTATAGATCCGCAGAAGTCACAGTACAATGATAGTTATGTATATTGTATTTTAAAAGTCTAGTCATCTATATATGGGCAATATTGCCAATTTTTTAACATAGCTGAAGCGGAGGTTCACCCCTTTATAACTCGGGAATTACTTAAGTATATGAAAACAAGTGAATAGTTTTGGGTTAATTGGTCTGTCGTGGCAAACTGCTCATGGTATTGACCTCCAAACGTTATTCTGGTGGAAGCTGTGTCTACTTTAATGTAAAAAATGTGTAAAAACAGGTTGAGGCGAACCAGTTTTTTTATGTTCTCTATCGATTTGTGATTAAGCCACTCATTTCACTGTCTTCGTGTCAAAGTAAAACTAGAAGCCAACAAAATGAGGACTACGCCCCTTATGTATCATTTTTCAAAATTGTAACTGCATCTACCTTTAAATGATGCTGACATTTTGAAGCTCGATTTTGAGTGTTTTTTGAATTTTACTTCTAGCTTTAAAACGCAAACAGGAATTTCTAAAAGTCGATTATAAGATTATTGTAGTCGCGAATCTGCGTAATTTGATATGTATTTTGTGTATGTAGTATGCACAGCTTCAGAGTAATATTCATCCGAAGGTGCGAATTTTGTGCGATCAAACTTCTAAAAAACCTATTTTTCGGGCCAAATTTTTAGATCTGTCAACTGAATGATATGGGTACCCGCAATCAATAAGGTTATTTACGTTTCGGATGATATAAAATCTTCTTCGTGAAAATCCATCTACTAGAACGGCGGGAACTGGCCTTCCAAAAACACGAAATTTGGCAAAAATTTTTTTTGAAAATATCGCGGATTTATTTGCGTTTTCTGTGTATCATTTCCGCTATTTTGCTTCAATATATGATACGGATTTTTTGCGGATGTTTATTCCGAGCCTTGAAATCGGTATAGATCGCACACCGGAATCGGATATATGGAGTTTTCGCAAATTATTCGCGTTTTACGATTTTTTGGGTACTTCAATGTAACGTGTGGCACATCTTAGCCCGTCAAATGAAATTTCGCAAAATATATATGGATTGGAAGATAAACAGCACCTCACAAATGTGACATATTTTCCGAATTCTATACTTCGTATACTTAGTATTATTATTATATATGCCAATTTTTTCGGCGAAGTACAGCTATTGTCCAGATTCCTTCGGCTTTTTTTGCGGAGTTTATTCCGTCTATAGATCAGCACCTCACAGTGACATCGAAAATAACACAAAAAAATTAAGTTTTCGGTCCACTTCATTCCAAAATTATTATCTGATCATCACCGAAAATTATAGGCGTTGTCCTTGACCATAACTGGAACCTCATGGAACATTTCAAAGCGATCAGCGCTATATTTCCGCCCTCTAGTGTGGTAATGGTTAATAAATAATATATTGATGTTCGTCTTTCAATGTGGCCTAAAGATCGACACGAAAAAAACACAAAAAATTAAGTTTTCGGTCCACTTCATTCCAAAATTATTATCTGATCATCACCGAAAATTATAGGCGTTGTCCTTGACCATAACTGGAACCTCATGGAACATTTCAAAGCGATCAGCGCTATATTTCCGCCCTCCAGTATGGTAATGGGTTACTAAATAATATACGTATACGGAGATACCTGTAAATATTTGGGTGTAACTCCCACATCCGAGCACATACAACAATATAATTGGTATTAATTTAAAGGTCAACCACTCCTCTTGGATATAAAATCAACTTCTCGGGTCTATGTCCATCAGGGACAAATATATACGCTATAGAATAAAAATTTTGTAATTTTTCACACAAAAGTCAGGGTCCATTTGACCCGCTAAATATTGACCGATCTTTATGAAAACAGGCATGCTTATTCTTTGGCCCGATCCACTACTCCATGCAAAATTTCAAGATGTTCGAGCCAATATTGCGGCCTCTGGAGCCACCAGAAAAACCGACAAAAATTTAGTATTTGGTCCATTTCATCCCCTAAATATTAACAGATCTTTCCCAAAAACAATAGGGGTCTTCATTGGCCAGAACCCATCCTACATGCAAAATTTCGTGAAGTTTGGTCCATAACTGTGGCCTGTATCGTGTTTACAAATTATAATGGACAGACGGACGGACGGACGGACGGACGGACACACATGTCTAGATCGACTCAGCTAGTCGAGATATGACGATCGGTATACTTAAAGGTGGGTCTACGACCAATTTTGAAAATGGAATATTAAAAAATTGGCAATATTGCCCATATATAAAATAGAAAAAAATTTGTTTGTTTGTATGTTACCGATAGACGCCGAAACCACTGAACAGAACTTAAGGGGACCCCCCCCCATTCTCGGGGTCAAAACCATTGAACAGATTTTAATAAAATGTTCACAGGGCATCAAGCGATCCCATTGAAGTAACATAGTTTAGTTAAAATTTTAAAATCCGCCTGGATGAGGAGTTATAGCATCAAAAGTAATCATATGTACATACTATGTATGTTTATTTCAAATAATGTATGTATATTTGTATGTTCATTTTTTAAGATAGGTTACATGTAGCGACTTGAAAATTTAGTTGAATAACATGGAAGCAAATACGCTTCTTCCGATGAGAATACATTTTGGAACAATGATGATATATGTAAGTAAGATAGGCAAGATAAACTTCGAAAATTCCGCGATGACGAGGAATTAAAGCATCAACAGTAATCATACCACTGAGCTAATATTAATTTTCTATGCATATATTTGAATATCTTAAATAAATCGGCTCATACAAATTTGTATGATACGCAGATAATTACATACTAATCTTAAGTGACCAGGAATTAACAAAATTGGTCCAAATCGATAATGTTCGACTCATAATTTTTGGTCCTTTTATGTTATTATCAGTAATGATAAAAACCACCAGTTCAATAATTCCGCTAACATCTGCTGTTTTTCATCTCTCCATTATCTACATATTGGAATAAAATTTGTGTAAAATGAAAAAATTTTGACATTTTAATTATTCCATTTTGTCAATTTGTGAAAAAAATAAAAATTGGATTTTTTAATTTTAAAAATTCAAATACAATTAAAGAAAAATACTATGAATTCAATATGGGAGATATCCAAAAGAGAAATGCTGATTGTGGAATAAAAGTTATAAAAGTCCGAAATCTGTAGTGGCTTATCATTATAGCTGATATATTTCGAGGATGTATAGAGGCAATGACTAAGTCAAATGACACAAATCCTATCTTCGGACTTGATCATGATTTCTTAAGAATAACAATACTATATCTAGGTTCTGTAAACATATTATGCTGTGATAATGCATTATTGTGAATTTTTTCTTGGCAATGAAACAATTAAAAAACACACAACTCAAATTTAAGAAGGATCATACTCAGGTATACAAGCGATGTTAATCGAAGTGAGAAAGGGATCCCAATCATATCATGGGGAAATAATTGAGAATACAGACATAAAAAATTGCTGTAATGTAAATGAAGGATTTTAGTGGTCTTGGAACGATTAATGAGAAATATATAAATATTGGAGAAAATATATTTGTGTATGGTACTATTACAACTGATTAGAGAAGAAAATCAAATGTACTAGTATTGTATATCTGGTGAATAAAACATTTCATTTCAGAAATTTTTCAATATGGATAATTTGTATACCCTACACAACTATGTTGTCAGGGTATTATAGCTTTGTGCAGCCCCAAAAGTTTATAACGCCGCTAAATATTGGTCCTAGACCCACCATTAAGTATATCGATCGTCATATCTCGACTAGCTGAGTCGATCTAGACATGAGTGTCTGTCCGTCCGTCTGTCCATTATAATTTGTAAACACGATACAGGCCACAGTTATGGGCCAATCTTCATGTAGAATGGGTTCTGGCCAATGAAAACCCCTATTGTTTTTGGAAAAGATTGGTTAATATTTAGGGGATGAAATGGACCAAAAACTTTATTTTTGCCTGATTTTCTGGTCACTCTAGAGGCCGCAATTATGGCCCAAACACCGCGAATTTTTGCATGGAGAAGGGGATCGGGCCAAAGAATAAGCATGCCTGTTTTGATAAAGATCGTTCAATATTTAGCGAGTCAAATGAACCTTGACTTTTGTGTGAAAAATTACAAAATTTGTATTCTATGGCGTATAAATTTGCCCCTGAAGGACCTAGACCCAAAAAGTTGATAGTATCTTCAAGAGGAGTTGTTGACCTTTAAATTGATACCAATTATATGGTCGTATGTGCTCAGATGTGGGAGCTACACTTAAATATTTACAGGTGCTTACGTATTCAGACATTATTTAGTAACCCAAAACCACACTAGAGGGCGGAAATATAGCGCTGATCGCTTTAAAAATTTCCACGAGATTCCAGTTATGGTCAAGAACAACGCCTATAACTCTCGGTGATGATCAGATAATAATTTTGGGATGAAGTGGACCGAAAACTTAACATTTTGTGTTTTTTTATTATTATTATTTTTTTTTTTTGAGTTGATCTTTAGGCCACAATTGAAATCCCAACACCACAACATAACCCACGATAAAGAGAATCTGGACAATCGTCTACTGAATATTAGTAATATTTGTTGACCTTTAGTCAGGTTTCAAGAGGGTGCAAATAACGCAAAGTTAGATTTTCGCATAATTTTCGGTACGTTTTAGATTCTTTTTTTTCAAATTTCAAACCGAGTGTTTGCAATTTGAAACATTAATTTTTCAGAATATATACAGCAATAACATAGTCCCCATGTAAAGGCCCTGGACGATTAAAGGAATTTTGAAAATACAGAATCGGCTCGGCCGAATTGATAGACGTTTTTACTTGTTCCAGGTCGCTGCCAACAACAACTCATGGTTATACCTGAAATTTATATAGAAGTCCTCGAATAAAAATGACATAATGACATTTAAGATTAGAAGTAGAGGTTACAGAAAAACAAGTAAATTTTAGTTTTAATAAATTATTTCTTTTTTATTTCGAGTCATTGATTTGATCGTTTCAGTTGATACATTTTACAAGAAGATTGGTGCTGGAGCAGCGGCGGCATAAGTCAAAGGAGCAGAGTAGGTGAAAGGAGCAGCATAAGTGGCAGCGTATTTGGCTACAACAGGAGCAGTGTAGGCAGCAGCAACTGGGGTGGTGTAGGCAGCAGCGACTGGGGCAGCGAAAGTCTTGGCAACAATGGGAGCGGCAACAGTCTTGGCTACAACAGGGGCGGCAACGGGAGCAACAACTGGAGCTGTAGCAATACCATTGTAGTTACGGGCAACATATTGGCTGCTTGTGGCAGTAACGAAGGGTGCTGGGGCGGCAGCAACAACAGCAGCTGGTGCAGTGTAGGCCAATGGGGTAACCAAACCAGGCTTGGCGGCAGCGCAAGCAAACATGGCGAAAAGGACAACGGCCTAAAAATGAATGATCAGATCATTATTAATAATTGTTTGATTTTATTTAAAATGGCGATTTCAACTTACGAATTTGAACATTTTGTTAGGTGTTTGGATTTGCTTTAGTCTTCAAGTAATTGATAACTGATAGTAGCCTCAGCTTTTGATTTCTTATTTATAGCAAAAAATTGTCGAAGGTCCAAACCGTTCTTTGTTTTTTTTTAATATTTTTCCGTTGAGATACCCTTCAAAAATGTTCTTGAAAATTTTATTATGGTCAAATATTTAATTTCAATTTTCCATAGTACTTCTGTGTTTGCCTCTGTTGAAGTCGTTGTTGTCCATAATCAAAACAAATGACGCCATTGTGAGCTGAATACTTAATAGGTTCATTTTAAGACCTACACCAATTTGTTAGATATTGTGATTCACACATACCACCCATATTGAATGTGTTGATAGGAATTAGTTTTAGGTTGTACGTTAAATAGTACAATCGTAATGAACAAAATTGAAATATTTTTAATTGACACCCAACTTTTAATGGAGATGTTTGAGAATAAATGAGAATATATACCCTACACAACTATGTTGTCAGGATATTATAGTTTTATGTGACCCCAAGCGTTTGTAACTCCACGAAATATTGGTCCTAGACCCACCTTTTAATATAGCTGAGAAGGAAACAGATCCGATAAGTGGATGGTACATCCAAGAGGAGTTTTTGACCTTTAATTTGATGCTAATTACAGTTAAGTATCTACTAGGATGTAGCAGTAATGTTTAAATCTCCTCATATTCTGATATTATTTAGTAACCCATTACCAAACAATAAGGGCGGAATATAGCGCTGATTGTTATGGAATTTTTCATGAAGTTCCTGTCGGGATCAAGGTAGGGGGGATGTGGATATAGGGGAAAATGTGAATCTTACGATTTAAATTTCAGGGTGAGAAAGATAAGATCGCAAAGTATTGCTCAGGCTCGGAAAATAGATCCGCATCTCAGTCACATCTCCATGGTAGTTGTGTAGGATTTCATATGGTTGTCCCGTCCGACTATACTGCTTCGCTCACTGGTTTATTTAACCCTTTCAGTGTTATTGTCGAATATATTCGATATTTAAAATTACTCTCTTTGTTTGCGATTTTTCGGTTATCCTATGTGCCGTTACAATTGATGTTTATGTTTTTGCTAAAAGACACACAAAATTGTCCGAGGATTAAAATAAAAATTGTTTTTTTTTTTTCTAAACTATGTGCCTTTATATGATCTTAAATACAAAATTTAAGATTTTTATTCCGACAAAAATTTGTTTTGACACAGAAAGAGTTAATGACGTTGTTGTAATATTAATAAAACTACAAAGGATAGAAACGGTGTAATAAAACTACAAAGGATAGAAACGATATCCTCCACATCTTCGAAGCTTATAATAACCTACAATAAATTTTAAACCGAGTCTGAAAATGTTCATAGAGTCGATCGGACAAACGTAGTGAATTTGGCTAACCTCAGACATCGATCGAAATTATTTAAAGCGACTTCAATAAATAAGTCGGACGAGGCCGACTATATGCTACCCTTCACCACTTTGGGTATATTCGACAGATGAATCCTAACAGAAATCGCATTTTAAAGGACCAGTAAAATGAAATTGGATCAATAAGCATGTCATTTCATTTGGTCAGATATATAAGCTATATCTAAAACTGAACCGATTTCAGGAAACTTAATACACATCATTCTACACCTAATTCATTACGCAGTGCCAAATTTCTTGCAAACCGGAAGCTATTAAGGGACTTTGGTACACCATTTACCTCAAAAGGGACGAAAATATATATGGGAGCTATATCTAAGTCTGAACCGATTTCCACGAAACATAGCTCACATCATTCTACACCTTATTCATTACGCTGTGCCAAATTTCGTGCAAACCGAAAGATATTAAGGGTCTATGGTACACCATTTACCTTAAATCGGAAGAAAATATATATGGGAGCTATATCTAAATCTGAACCGATTTCCACGAAACTTAACACACATCATTCTACACCTAATTCATTAAACTGTGCCAATTTTTGTGCAAATCGAAAGATATTAGGGGTCTTCGGTGCACCATTTACATTAAATCGAACGAAAATGTATATGGGAGCTAAATCTAAATCTGAACCGATTTTCAGGAAACTTAACACACATCATGTCTGAAATCTCAAAGCAATAATTGCGGTTACCGTTATATTGGGTCTATACATTGTTGATAATTTTTCGTAGGAGAGATGAAAAACTGTAAATAATGCCCGATTTGATTCAGAAATGAGGTGAACCGTTATATAAGGTCTCCCAACTGACATTGAAAATACTAAATATTGTCAATTTTTGTTTATGATCAATAAATTTACTCCTGAACAATTTGTAATCTCATATGAAGCATATTGAGTTCCGACTAGTTTCCAACTTTGTTTAATATAATATTTTGGGAACTCATAAATCTCGGAATGAATCTGACTGAACCGAAAACCTTTAAAAAATTAAAATGTAACAATAGTAGTTATTTCGAGAGTGCCGAATTTGATATACCACCCATCGGGAAATATATAAAATTGAGTGATATAATGTTGCACAGATTTAAAATGTATATAATATATACCTACCTATGTATCCAGTTCATCATCACGATAATAATTACAAACATATATAGTTTCAATATTAGTTTAGTATAGTTTTTTTCTTAGATGGTATTATTTTCTTATATCGTATTTAATGCAGTCTCAAAGTTTTTAAAACAAAACTGGGGCTGGAGCAGCAGCATAAGTCAAGGGAGCAGAGTAAGCGAAAGGAGCAGCATAGGTGGCGGCGTATTTGGCAACAACTGGGGCAGAGTAAGCAGCGGCAACTGGCGTGGTGTAAGCAGCAGCGACTGGGGCAGCGAAAGTCTTGGCAACAATTGGAGCAGCAACAGTCTTAGCGACAACGGGAGCAACAACTGGGGCAGTAGCAATACCATTGTAGTTACGGGCAACATATTGGCTACTGGTGGCAGTTACATAGGGAGCTGGGGCAGCAGCAACAACAGCAGCTGGTGCGGTATAAGCCAAAGGAGTTACCAAACCAGGCTTGGCAGCAGCACAGGCAATCATGGCGAAGATAACAACGGCCTACAAAAGGCGAAGAAGATATTTTAACAATTCATTCCAATAAAATTTCCAAAAAGTTAAACTTACGAATTTGAACATGTTGATAATTTGTGGTTTGTAGCGATTACTGAGAGAACACAAGAGTATCTGATACCATTTTCAGAAATGATCAACATTATTTATAGTTGAAATTTGGATTTCGAATTATTGCTGTCATGTTTAATTTAAATATTTTACTTTACTTTTTGTTTACACTAGTTGTACGTAGAAAACATTTTTCTATTTGAAGCAATCAAATATCTTCAATTAGTATTCAAATCACAGAATTTGGAGTATTGTACATCGTTACTGTAAATGCACCATTCCAACGAAAAGTTAAATTGCTGTTGAGCATATTTGTTGATAATTATATACAATTTTTCACATAAAGCATATACGTAGAAAGGCTTTCTAAATCGATCTATGTATATTCATAAAAAAAAATGATCACAATTGATTAGAAAGATTACGGAAGGACCACGATATTTCTTATAACGAAATTTCGGTGCCTGTTTCTTAATGGTCTTGGGAGCATTTTATAGCGACGGAATGCTTTATTTGGCATTTCCTAGTTGTCGAATTAATTCAATGGAGTACGTTCAAGTACTGGAAGACAAATTATTGTCATTTTGGAAAAGCAGCAACAATGAAGGACTCGTTTTTCTTTAGGACAACGCGTCAGTTCATAAAAGTCGCCATACTCAATAATGGTTAAAATAAAAAAATATTCAAAATTCTAACCAGAATCAAATCGAGAACATATGCGGAAAACCCCCAATTTCAAACTGTTTTTATTCTCAAAGTTACTTCTTTTGGGGTTAAAAACAATGAATGGCGGTCAATCGATGATCATTTTGTGAAAAAAAATTTGATAGGCAGTATGATGGATAGAATTTTTTAACATATTCAACATAAGGGAAGCTCTACACATTATTGATTACAATTATTTTATTTTATTTATGTTTAAAAATAATAAATGTATCTAATTTTGTAAAAGTGTGCAGAATTAGGCGAAAGCATAAAGACTAAATGAATTATTTTTGTTGAATATCTAATATGTGTTTTTGATCATTATACCCTACACAACTATGTTGTCAGGGTATTATAGCTTTGTGCAGCTCCAAAAGTTTGTAACGCCTCGAAATATTGGTCCTAGACCCACCTTTAAGTATACCGATCGTCATATTTCGACTAGCTGAGTCGATCTAGACATGTGTGTCCGTCCGTCCGTCTGTCCATTATAATTTGTAAACACGATACGGGCCACAGTTATGGACCAATCTTCACGAAATTTTGCATGTAGAATGGGTTGTGGCCAATGAAGTGCCCTATAGTGGAAAAGATCGGTTAATATTTAGGGGATGAAATGGACCAAAAACTTTATTTTTATCGGTTTTTCTGGTCGCTCCTGAGGCCGCAATTATGGCCCAAACACCTCGAATTTTTGCATGGAGAAGTGGATCGGGCCAAAAAAGAAGCATGCTTGTTTTGATAAAGATCGGTCAATATTTAGCGGGTCAAATCAACCCTGACTTTTGTGTGAATAATGACAAAATTTGTATTCTATGGCGTATATATTTGCCCCTAAAGGACCAAGACCCGAGAAGTTTATATTGTGTTCAAGAAGAGGACCGAAAACTTAACTTTTTGTGTTTTTTTTTTACTCAATCTATAGGCCACAATTGAAAGCCCAACATCACAACATAAACCACGGTAACGAGAATCTGGACAAGTACAGCCCTCGTCTACTGAATATTGCTAATATTTGTTGACCTTTAGTCGGGTATCAAGAGGCTGCAAATAACAAAATGTTAGATTTTCGTGGAAGTTGTGTAGGGTATTATATGGTCGGCCCCGTCCGATAATACTGCTCCGCTCACTGGTTTTTATTTTGTACAATAACATAATGGGTCCATTTTATTTCTCAACTAACATACCAATTGAATTAAAAGTGTGTCTATAGTTCTGACACGCAGTGTATATATATTTTGCAATATGTTTTACTTTACATGGAACCGGAGTTCTAAATGACAGCCATTGCAAAGGCGGCAAAAACCTCAAAATACCGAAATTTGGTTTAAAAACGTACCCATGGTTACCAAAATATCCAAATACCGTTATATAAGTTAAACTCAATAATATGGGCTAATATGAATAATTTTTGATAAGAAATTTTCGATGACCGGCCAACTTTGATAATTTCTCTGACTTTTATCGACATTTTCGACAACCGGCCTACCTGTGCGAGGTGCATCTTTAACATCAAAAATTCCTGAACGGAATCTTCGAAACCAAAATTGCACATAATTGGCTGTTATAGTATCGGAACCATAAACACCATTCACAATTTTAGCCGCTTGGCTTGCATTTTCGCCTTTGTCAAAGAAAAACTGTAAAATGTACTGAAATTTCTCTTGGTTCACTTCCAAAAATAAACATATGCCAGATTATTAATTTTTATCTAGAATACTATAAACATTATGATAATATTTCTGATCCCATTATCTAGCGACTCAAATTGATCAAAAATATAATTAGGTGAATATGTTTAGCCTGGCTATCAAATCTTTCATTATAGATTAAAGGAGATCAATGCACATGACATTTTTCATATTTACATATGATTGTCCCCGGTTTGATGTGTTGTGAATTTTAGTTAAAACTAAAATAATTGTAGTTTGTATGAACGTCATGTCTGAACATTGTACACAAAACGCGAATTAAAATTATTCGATTAAATGACACATAACGGAATTCATACCACACAAAAAATAAGTATAAATAGTTCAGTTCATTACCAAATAGGGTATCAGATATTCTTGTGTTCTCACAGTAATCACAACAAATCAAATTTTATCAACATGTTCAAATTCGTAAGATAACTTTTTGATGAAAATTCAAATGTGCTGATTTATTAATATTTGTAACTTTATTAGGCCGTTGTTATCTTCGCCATGATTGCCTGCGCTGCCGCCAAGCCTGGTTTGGTTACTCCTTTGGCTTATACCGCACCCGCTGCTGTTGTTGCCGCCGCCCCAGCTCCATTCGTTACTGCCACCAGCAGCCAATATGTTGCTCGTAATTACAATGGTATTGCCACCGCTCCAGTTGTTGCTCCTGTTGCCGCCCCTATTGTAGCTAAGACTGTTGCTGCTCCCATTGTTGCCAAGACTTTCGCTGCCCCAGTCGTTGCTGCTTACACTACCCCAGTTGCCGCTGCCTACTCTGCCCCAGTTATTGCCAAATACGCCGCCACCTATGCTGCTCCCTTTGCTTACTCTGCTCCCTTGACTTATGCTGCTGCTCCAGCCCCAGTTTTGTTTTAAAAACTTTGAGACTGACAGCCTGTTTTTGTAAAATTCTAAACGAACGAATTCGAGTGACTTACGACCAAACTCCTTGGTTTTGAAGAATATGTCATTTATTTTTGTTTTGAATCAAAAAATATTTGTTTACATAAACAAAGGTTTGGTCGTAAGTCACTCGAATTCGTTCGTTTAGAATTTTACAAAAACAGGCTGTGAATTAGACACGAAATAAGAAATAAAAATACAATAATATTTAAATGATATGATTTTTTATTTCAAATCTTTTTTGCGGATTACGAAATGGAAATACTAAATACGTTTTTAAAAAAGATGGTTCCGGCCTCAACAAAAATGTGAAAACTGACCAAAAGTGAAGCTATGGCTTACCCTCAACTTTATACGACAAAAATGTGTCTCATCAAACTATCGGGTATTTAAATAATTGTTTTTGTACCAAATCCTTGTCAGACGGACAAATTTTGAGTATAGAAGTGACCGGATAGATTAAGTTCGAAAATAAAGACTATCGGTCCAATGTTTCCGGTAACTCTCCCACCAAATTTTCGACATTTTGAAGAAAGCAGTGAATTCGATCATGTTGAATGTAAAGGATTATCGGTCCACTTCACTTCACTTTAAAGTGAAGCTAATGTGAGTATCCGATTTGACCAAACTCTACACATCGGAATAAGCAAACAAAGATGTTACGATGAATCAAAAATGGGATCGACGTGAAAAATATTGAAAATGTGTTTTTTGGATTGAATCTTGGAACAATGCATTATGTTTACTTGATCTGGAAATTCTCATTAAAATTGTTAGCACTTAAAAACGAGCAAGGAAAGTAGTAAAGACGGACTGGACCGTCAAATTCATGTCAGTTTGAACGAACTTAAATATGTGATCTTTATCTATAAGTGAACCGACTAACATCAATCCATACACATGCCTTTCTGCAACCTCTGCTAAAGTTAATTTCATTCGGGCATATTTTGAGTCGTTTACGTACGATGGGTCTAATCGATTTAAAGTAACATTGCTACACTCTATTCGGCATGCCGCACTGTTCAAAATTTAATCCGAATCAGACATCAGTTAGAAATATAAATGGAAGCTATGTCTGCATCTGGGGCACCATTTACCTTAAACCGTATATATATATATATATATATATATGGAAGCTATATCTAAATCTGAACGAAAATTAGCACAGATTATTCTAGACTTAATTTAGTACACTGTGCCAAATTTCGTACAAATCTAAATATATATAGGGACTTTGGTGCACCAAATACATTAAATCGGACGAAAATATTTATGGGAGCTATATCTAAATTTGACTCGATATTGAAGAAATTTAACAGACACCATTCTAGACCCTATTCATTACGCTATGTCAAGTTTCGCGCAAATCGAAGGATATATAGGGACTTTGGTACACCATTTATCTTAAATCGGACGAAAATATATATGCGAGCTATATCTAAATCTGAACCGATTTTTCCAAATTGCAATAGGGTTCGTCCTTGGGCCAATTAAGTGACCTGTGCCAAATTTCATCCAAATAGGGTCATAAATGCGACCTATACATTGTTAACAAAAATACATGGACGGACAGACGAACGGGCAGACAGACGGACATGCATAAATCGACTCAGAAAGTGATTCTATGCACATTCTCAAAAGGAACCATGGGTCTATTTCGAATATTTTTGCCTGTTACAAACATATGCACAAACACATAATACCCTGTACCACAGTGTGATGAAGAGTATAAAAATATATGTGAGATATATCTAAATCTGAACCGATTTTTTCCAATTTCAATAGGTTTCGTTCTTGGGGTAAATAAATGAGATGTGCCAAATTTAATCCAATTCGGATCATAAATGCGACCTGTACTTTGTTTACAATTTAACATACTCGGACAGACAGACCGACGGACAAGCATAAATTGACTCAGACGGACATAGTAGTACATCGACTAGTACATAACTTTGGTAGATGATTTACAATAGTCCATTCACCTGTCTATCTTGCTGGCTGGTGGTCATGATAACACTTAAAGGTAGTAAACAACTTGATTCATATTGTGGACATCCCAATAGTTCTTCAATACTTAGATATATTTCAAAAATTGAGCTTTCTATACTTTATCAATAAAGAAATGATTTGATCGAGAATTTGGACATCACAGATCCAGATCTATTAAGAAGACGAAGTCAAGAGCAGTCAACTCATTCTAATACTTTTCCCACTTCAAAATTTATATAATCAATTATTTCCAATATACATCTTCTAAGAGTCGTATTTATCTATTAAATTAAACAACTAATATTTAAATAGTATTATAGGTGTTTTATTTCTTAATTCGCATCTATGTCAGTCTCAAAGTTTAAAACAAAACTGGAGCTGGAGCAGCAGCATAAGTCAAGGGAGCGGAGTAAGCGAAGGGAGCAGCATAGGTGGCGGCGTATTTGGCAACAACAGGGGCGGAGTAGGCAGCGGCAAGTGGGGTGGTGTATGCAGCAGCGACAGGGGCAGCGAAAGTTTTGGCAACAATTGGAGCAGCAACAGTCTTAGCTACAATAGGGGCGGCAACGGGAGCAACAACTGGTGCGGTGGCAATACCATTGTAGTTACGGGCAACATATTGGCTACTTGTGGCAGTAACGAAAGGTGCAGGAGCGGCAGCAACAACAGCAGCGGGTGCAGTGTAAGCCAAAGGAGTAACTAAACCTGGCTTGGCAGCAGCACAGGCAATCATGGCGAAGATAACAACGGCCTACAAAAGATGAAGAATATATTTGTTAATTTCATTCAAATAAAGTTTCCAAAAGTTTAAACTTACGAATTTGAACATATTGATAAGATTTTGCGGTTATTGTGAGAACACAAGAATATCTGATACCGTTTTCGGAAATGACCTACTATATTTATAGCTGGAACTTGGATTTTCAATAGTTGCTGTCATGTTTAATTTACATATTTTAATTTATTTTTTTGTTTACACTAGCTGAAAACAAGAGTTGTACAAAGAAAACTGTGTTGGTATTTCAACCAATCAAATATCTTTAATTAATATTCGAATCACAACATATGGGTTATGTTGTGCATTATTACTGTAAATACACATACCATCTTGCTCTGGCATGAATTAGGACTATTAACATCGCAAAAAAATTACAAAATTTCGGACATATGAAATATAATTGTTGGAAAATTTCCTCTGTTGTATCGAAGGTCTTGAGGCTCATCCCGATTTACACATATTGGTTATGCAAAATGATTTATATAAAAAAACGCAGTATTTTTAGCCTGTCTTGTCCTATAACATATTTTATCTTTGATATACTATACTTTCAAATCCTCTGATATGGATTATACCTTTGGTGGATCAGTGCTCATGATATTCCTCCTATTGATGCTCCCTCCAAGGAACATTGATATGAAATTGAACGAACTTAAATATGTGATCTTTATCTACAAGTGAACCTACTAATATCAATCCATACAAATGCCATTCTAGAACCTATGCTAAATTTAATTTCATTCGGGTAGATTTAGAGTCATTTGCGTACAATGAGACTAATCGATTTAAAGCAACCTTGGTACACGCCATTCGGTATACCGCACAGTTAAAAATTTAATCCCAATCAGGAACCCGTTAGAAATATAAATGGAATATATGTCTGCACCACTTTTAACCCTTTATGGCCCAATGGTGCACACAGGCAACAACATTTTTTAGAGCTTATATTTAATATGCAGCTAGTAGATATATATTATTTGGATTTCATATGTCAAGACCTGATTATGGACGACACACATTAAAAGAAAAATAAAAAAAAAATCCAAATAATTTTTGGAAAATTTCCTATGTTGAATCGAAGGACTTGAGGCTCGATTTTAGCTTTCGATTCAGTTACATTTATATCATCCCGATTTACACATATTGGTTTTGCAAAATGATTTATATTAAAAAAAACGAAGTTTTTTTAGCCTGTCTGGTCCTACAACATATTTTATCTCTGATATACTATACTTTAAGGGAACCCCCCCAATTCTCGATATTAATTTTTCAAGATTTTCAATGGGCTGGTAAATCAAAACCAATGCTTGTTAAGGTTTGTAACTTTACACATATATATTTGAAGATTTAAAAATTAAGAAAAATAATTTACAAAAAATGTTTGTTATTGTTTTGTTGTTGTTTTTTGTAATTAAAGAAAAGTCCTTATTTTTGATGGCGGGCATGATAACTCCTCACTGGAACATCGGAATCCGAAAATTCCAACGGTGTTAGAAAGAGTACACATCTGGCTCTCGTATGAACTAGGATTATTGACTTCGCTCTAAAATTAACAAAATGGTGGACCTTTGAAAAAATATTTTTGAAAAATCGCCGATTTTTTACCAAATCCCAAGTTAAAAAATAAGGAAGATCTTCACCGATTGGCTTTATCCTAGTTCATACGATAGCTATACACTCACAGAGAAACGTGTAAAAATTTGAAGTCGATTGGGTTATTAGTTTTTGAGTTATCGTGCCCGCCATTCGCAAAAAAATGTTTAGAGAAAAACTCGTTTAAATTTTGAGAAACCCTTCAGCCGTCACTTGATGCTGACACAATAAATCGGCTATATCTTTAAGAGTTGTTGAGATTTTTATTTGAAATTTTGTAGGGACATTCTTTAATTAGTGTAGATTCCAATTATATCAACAACATTTTTGACCCCGAGAATGGGGGGGTCCCCTTAAAATCCTCAAACATGGATTATACCTTTGGTGGATCAGTGCACATGATATTCCTCCTATTGACGTATGTTTGACCCCGGTATGATGTGTTATGCATTTTAAATACAGCAAGGTGCTAAAACATTTGTTGTTTGTATGAACGTCATGTCTGGTAACTGTGCACAAAACGTGAATTAATATGATTCAATGGAATTGAACATAACGGAACTCATATCACCCACAACTATTATGTATAAATAGTTCAGTTCATTTCCAAATAGGGTATCAGATATTCTTGTGTTCTCACAGTAATCGCAACAAATCAAATCTTCTCAACATGTTCAAATTCGTAAGTTTAAAATTTTTGGAAAATTTAAATGGTTTGAAATAAAAAAAGTATATATTTTACATATTTGTAGGCCGTTGTTATCTTCGCCATGATTGCCTGTGCTGCTGCCAAACCTGGTTTGGTAACTCCTTTGGCTTATACCGCACCAGCTGCTGTTGTTGCTGCTGCCCCAGCTCCCTTTGTGACTGCCACAAGTAGCCAATATATTGCTCGTAACTACAATGGTATTGCCACTGCTCCAGTTGTTGCTCCCGTTGTCGCTAAGACTGTTGCTGCTCCCATTGTTGCTAAGACTTTCGCTGCCCCAGTCGCTGCTGCTTACACTACCCCAGTTGCCGCTGCCTACTCTGCCCCAGTTGTTGCCAAATACGCCTCCACCTATGCTGCTCCTTTCGCTTACTCTGCTCCCTTGACTTATGCTGCCGCTCCAGCTCCAGTTTTGTTCTAAGAGACTGACTTACGATATATTAAATAAATGGTTCCTAAATAATATAAAAAATTAAAAAAATATAAATTTGGCTTTTATATTAATTATTTGACTATTTTTTTGGAGGCACCAGATGAGTTTTTGGGTTCTATAATAATTATAGTCTCCAACAATACGTCGATGTGGTTAATTAGTTGGATGGATACACAAAAGTTGCGTAGAATGCATCTTTTGTGTACCCATATGTACCAATTTCTAAAAATTTAACATATATTATTGATATATTTCCGATTGCTATAAATTTATGTACAACGGAGAGGACCTTCAAAAAGTCTGGCTGTCAGTCTGTGTGACGAAAGTACAATTTAGATCCCCAATACTTAAGATAGATTACTACTACACCAGACATGATTGGTATTGAAGATGGGATATATTGGTACACGTTGTGGTACGTCCTATTTTTTTAGAGGACAATCATATATTTTTTTAACTGGCTGTCATCTAAAAAATTTATTTTATATTTGTATTTGTTAATTCAAATAAGTTAATGAATAACTTTTATGAAATTTCAGTGACATATGTAGAAAGGGAGTCCGAATCTTAGTAGGAAAAATTATATATCGGTATTTTCAGGATATTTAGACAAATTTTCCAACCGAATTGATTTTATTTGGATATTGTGGGTTCTATGTTTCCAGGTGTCCCCAATATAAAATACCCAACGTTTAATTTTTATACCCTTCACCACACTGTGGTACAGAGTATTATGTCTTTGTGCATATGTTTGTAACAGGCAAAAATAATCGAGATAGACCCATGGTTCCTTTTGAGAATATGCATAGAATCACTTTCTAAGTCGATTTATGCATGTCCGTCCGTCCGTCTGTCTGTCTGTCCATGTTAAATTGTAAACAAAGTACAGGTCGCATTTATGATCCGAATTGGATAAAATTTGACATAGGTCACTTATTCGGCCCAAGGACGAACCCTATTGAAATTGGGAAAAATCGGTTCAGATTTAGATATAGCTCCCATATATATATTTAACCGATTTAATGTAAACGGTGCCTATATATCTTTCGATTTGCACGAAATTTGGTACAGGCTAATCATTTAGGCCTATAATGATGTCTGCCAAGTTTCGTGAAAATCGGTCCAGATTTAGATATAGCTCCCATATATAGTTTCGTCCGATTTCATGTAAATGGTGCCCCAAAGTCCCTATATATATTTTGATTTGCACGAAATTTGGCATAACTTACTGAATTAAACCTAGAGGGATGTCGGCCAAGTTTCGAGAAAATCGGTCCAGATTTAGATATAGTTCCCATATATAGTTTCGTCCGATTTCATGTAAATGTTGCACCAAAGTCCCTATATATCTTTCGATTTGCACAAAATTTGGCATAACGTACTGAATTGAGCCTAGAGTGATGTCTGCGTTGTTTCGTGAAAATCGGTCCAGATTTACATATAGCTCCCTTTTATTATAGTTTGATTTTAAGTAATTGACGCACCAAGGGACCAATAGGAACAAAACGTTCTGAAATTCGTATAACCTATCCTGTGACAAGTTTGTTTGAAATAGATTAATATTTGGATAGAGCTTCCATATATATTTTCGCCCGATTTCAAGTAAATTGGGCATCAAACTCCTCATGTTAGTCAGTTTGACATCAAATTTTGCACAAAATTGAGCATAGAATTATGTAGTTGCGTTTTCTAGAAGTACAGACATAGCCCAACGGATGGCCTATTTTTATTTGTTTGAAGTCGATTTACATACTTTATGGATAGATCTACGTAGATTCACATTTAGATAAATATCTCATTTTTTCATCCAATTTTATGTTATAGTCCTGTTTAATATACCCGTAGTGGTGAAGGGTATCATATAGTCGGTCCCGTCCGACTTTACTACTTTCCTTACTGGTTTTTTTTAATTTTCCGAAAACTTACCTTCAAAAGTGGCTGTAATTGAGTATTCCTTCTGGCTTATGGGTTGCAAAATACGCTTGGGAAAAATAGTTGACATAGGTCTACTTCCTTGTTATGTTCCTTATATAAAGATCCCAAGATTATTCGCTTCGACCATAAATATATAATATATATATACCCCAAATATAACAGTATCTCCCAACTTTCGATATTTTGGGGAGTTTGGGCATATTTCTCAAACCTATCCTGGCAATTATTAATATCCGTCCACTTTTTGATATAGCCCTCTATGGCCGCCTATATCTATGGCCGCCATATAATCTCGGTATTCTGGGGATTTTTGGCTTTAATTTTCTATTCTGATTTTTTCATTTGGGTCAAATCTTCTTACCAAAAATTGTCTCGGTCGATGTTTGGGTATAGCTCCCATATAAATGACATGCCCCATTATTTGTATTTTGATATGGTAATTTTGCATTCCGAAACCTTGATTACAAAAAACTTTACAGAACGTGTTTTCGTCTTCTCCGAATTTCTCCCACCACGATAATCAAGCAAAATGCTTTATCTACGAACCACTTTTGCTGGTTCAGGCTCGCTTGCGTAATCCCAAATGATCCATTGCTATGTTTTGGGTTAAATGCATATGAATCGTCACCTATGAAAATCTTAAACACGATTTTATTTTAATCAAATTCGTGTATAGGGACTCAGTTTATTACGTCATATCGGTTATAACGACTGTATGCAATAGTCCCAAGAAAAGTTATTCCTTTTATTTGATACCGCTTATTGCCACCAATTTCGCCAATCCCTTGGCGCCGTTATAATTAAAAACAAGATCATTTCTTCGTTTAATATTGTAATATTCCTAATGAAATTCATTAAAAATACCTCTGCTTCCCCCTAAAAACCCAAACAGTGACACTTAAACCACTAATTGTTCACACTTTTAATGCGATGACAACGAATTCCATAAAAAGTGATTTATAGCACAGGCAAACAAATAAAACGGCCAAAATTAATAATAACAACTATTTTAAAACATGACACGTTAATAAATTCAGGTGTCCGCCAAAAGACGGGCAACAGCAACGATAATAATAACAACAACAAGTAATTAATGGCAAGCAAAGCCAGAAGTAGTAGCCACTGGTCTGACGCTACTGTCTGTCAATCGGTGACCAACAAATGATTTGGGTTTTAGTAGCCAATGTCTTCAACATCGTTGAACGGTAAGAACGTGACATACGTATTCGGACGGTAGTGTGTTGTCGAATGAATGACGGTGATGGTTTTGTGTTTATTTTCGGATTTTCTGTAGGTTATATATTTGGGTCTTCAGATTGAATTTGCCTCAATGGGCAATGGATTTGAAAATCGTGCCAAGGTTATGTAAACAAAATTATACAAGGATATGCAATGAAATACAGCAATTGGAAAGGTGTATTAGTTCTTAATGATCGAAATATTGGAAAAACCAGTGAGCGGAGCAGTATAGTCGGACGGGGCCGACCATACGATACCCTACACAACTACCACGGAACTCAAATTTTCTGCGGATGTTTATTTCGAGACTGGGCAATATTTCGTGATATTTGCACCCTCTTGCCCGATTAGAGGTAAACACACTTCCTCACACTGACATATTTTCCGAATATTACGAGTATTCAGTGCAGCTATTGTCCAGATTCTCTTCACCGTGGGTTGTGTTGCGATGTTCGGCTTTCATTTGAGGTCTATAGATCGACTCGAAAATTACACAAAAAAATTAAGTTTTCGGTCCACTTCATTCCAAAATTATTATGTGTTCATAACCGAAAGTTATAGGCGTTGTCCTTGACCATAACTGGAACCTCATGGAACATTTCAAAGCGATCAGCGCTATAGTTCCGCTCTCCAGAGTGATAATGGGTTACTAAATAATATACGAATACGGAGATACCTGTAAATATTTAGGTGTAACTCCCACATCCGAGCACATACAACAATATAATTGGTCATAATTTAAAGGTCAACCACTCCTCTTGGATATACTATCAACTTCTCGGGTATATGTCCTTCAGCGGTAAATATTTACGCCATATAATACAAATTTTGTCATTTTTCACACAAAAGTCAGGGTCCATTTGACCCGCTAAATATTGACCAATCTTTATCAAAACAGGCAAGCTTATTCTTTGGCCCGATCCCCTTCTCCATGCAAAATTTCACGATGTTCGGGCCATTATTGCGGCCTCTGGAGCGACCAGAAAAACCGAAAAAAATTTAGTATTTGGTCCATTTCATCCCCTAAATATTAACCGATCTTTCCCAAAAACAATAGGGGTCTTCATTGGCCAGAACCCATCCTACATGCAAAATTTCGAGAAGATTGGTCCATAACTGTGGCCTGTATCGTGTTTACAAAGTATAATGGACAGACGGACGGACGGACGGATACACATGTCTAGATCGACTCAGCTAGTTGAGATATGACGATCGGTATACTTAAAGGTGGGTCTAGGACCAATATTTCGCGGCGTTACAAACTTTTGGGGCTGCACAAAGCTATAATACCCTGACAACATAGTTGTGTAGGGTATAATGACAACATAGTTGTGTAGGGTATAATAAACATAAATAAAACCTAATTAAACATTTTAAAATAAAATTATTTATTTTAATTCTTTTTTCTTTGGCTACATAGCATATATTTTGTTATTCGTTTACATATTTATATTTATGTTAACAATTCTATTACAATGTTTACCAAACACTTGTCGAATAAGAAGGATAGGCGTAGCTGTATGATGGATATCCATAACCGTAACCATAACGATATGTATAGGGATATGTAGTCCAAGCAGTAGAATATCCAGGATAGGCAACCGTTGGTACCGTTGGGACATAGACTCGATTAAATTGTCGTGCAACCACCTGATGGCTGTGAGCTGTTACCACTGGAGTACCAGTAGTAACGGCGTATGTTGTCGGGACAGTATGCACGGGTATAACACTTGCATTGATGCAACACCACAAGGCCAGGAAAATGAAAAGTAGCTGAAAAATATGAAAACAAAAAAAAAAAAAAAAAAATAAAT